ATAAGGGGCATTACATTTCCCACGCGTGCTTGTGGTGTTCGGCCAATCACAATGCACTGGGTCAGCTGGCCAATCAGAGCAGACTGCGCTTGTCGGAAGGAGGGACTTTGTAGAAAACGAAGCGTTTGAGAGAGGCGGGGCATAGAGGACCTACAATAATGTACAGTATTTGAAAAATAATGTGTTTTTTGTACATTAAAGCATGTCAACATTCTGTTACACCAAACACACAAAATAATGATCTTTAAAATAGCATCATATGACCCCTTTAACAAATTTTAATTTTATTTTCACATAGTTAAAGCTGCAGTCCGTAACGTTTGGCACTCTAGTGGTTAATAAACAGAACTGCGTGCATCTTGCAGAAGAACATTGTAGCTGGAGCTACTTCTCTCTATTTATGTCTATGACGAATCACGCAGGTAGTGGGCTACTCTGCAGCGGTACCTACCCGAACCAGTCTAAATAGACCTAATTATAGGTGTAACGTAGTAATTCAGCACAAGCCAAAAACACGGTTTGGAAAATGGATTCATGGTGTAATTGCTTAATATATAAATTTTGTACATTTTGAACACAAAAAAAGTTACGGACTGCAGCTTTAAATAAAATAAATAAAAAAATGTTGCTATGGTACCAACATTTGTTTTGTTATTGGTACCGACTACTGACTACTATTAATATTGTGACGACACTAATACACAGCATATGAAATTCTTTTATACAAAAAACGAATAAAAAAAGATTTACAATTCTTAAGTTTATCCTACATTATATCTGTAAGCAGTTTCGCTAACTTCTGCCACATTTAACCCTTTCTATAAAACCCCCACTCGCCTAAACACACAGAAAGCCCAGAACGTCTGACGGAAAGAGAGCGCCAGGTCCTCTGATGTCCTGAAAACCTGCCACAGAGACTGTGTGCTTTCACATATGTCCGGCAGAAGCGACATTTCCGGCACAATATTTGATGAAAAACAGCTTACAGGTGTCTTTTAAGTGTCATGCACACATCAGAGCTTTACCTTTGTTTTCCGACTCACAGGGCTGCTGAGGCAACAGTACACAGGTCAGGACCTTCTCTCCAGACTCTGGGTCCACATCGGTCTGGAAGGTGAGCAGGGGTTGAGACTGGTTCTCTGACAGCCAGAGAGCTTTGAGTCGTAGAGAGGTCAGTGTCAAGGGCAGGTACAGCAGTCTACACAGAGACACGGACAGAATATCATTCACAAGACACACGTTTCTGCCTCTCTTTAATGCTGTTACTGCAAACTCTCCTCTGTTCTCCTGCTAGGCCTAATGTATGCATGTGTTTTGTGCTTTATTACTCAGTATTGTTTAATAAATGAACTGCCTTTTTTAAATAATCCGACAATTTTCCAAGTGAAAAAGCATATTTAACAAGATACACAGGATTGGATAATTTGATTATTCCAAAACTGATTGGATTGTAGAAAAGGGGGTTACATGCCATAATTTGTTGAAGCTGTCAACAAATGAACATGACACAGGAGAAAGTGTTAGGGGTAATGCATTACAAGTAACATGAGTTATGTAATCCGATTACTTTTTTCAAGTGACTAGTAAAGTAACTCATTACCAATACATTTAAAACAAAACCTTTCCCATTTAGTGACTGACACCTCTCCTGTCCCAATGTTAAGAGAAACTGGGAGTGAGGTGCAGAGGCACTTCCTTCAGCCTGAGGCTTATTAATTTCACTTCTGGTGTGAAAGGGCCTTTACAGTTGCCAAAAATATAACTTTTGGGTCTTTGTTATTAAAAAAACAAATAGGCAAATCCAGCCCAAGAGACAAAAAGTACCACAATATTGTAATGCATTACTTATTTTTTTTTTATAAATTATTAAAGGTATAGTTCACCCACCCAAAATTTACAATTGTGTAATCATTTACTCACCCTCATGGTCCAAAAGAGTATATGTAATAAATGTTATCAAACTAAATATTTTGTGCTGAAGCTACTTTTTGTAATGTCTGTTTGATGCTTTACGCAACAATGACTTTAAATGATCTTTTGGGAGTAATTTCTCAGCCAACGTGCTGAAGCTACTTTTTGTAATGTCTGTTTGATGCTTTACGCAACAATGACTTTAAATTATCTTTTGGGAGTAATTTCTCAGCCAAATTTGATGTGTGATTAATCAGATTAATTCATCCCCACATTTTAGATAGTTAGTAATTAATTAGATAAAAAAAATTAATCGCTTACCACTAATATATATATATATATATATATATATGAGGGACAGAAATATTTCATATTTCATTAAAAATATCCTTATTTGTGCTTTAAAGATAAATGAAAGTCTTATGGATTTGGAGCGGCATTTATAAATGTATGCCCTTACAGTGATGCTGTGTCAAAGAAAGTCCCTGATGTGCTTGACTTAGTCTACATCACCCCCCCCCCCCCCCCCCCCACACCACACGCGGGGTGTCACCTATCTTG